TGCACCCTAATGTACATATAGATAAATATGGATGTATGTATGTATATTGGACATTTGTTATGTATGTACGCATCAGCCGCTACCCACGCGTTATTCATTGTTACCATACCATTATCCATAAATAAGTATGTACGGTTATGAATGTAACCATACAGTTCATCACAGAAAGAAGTATCATCTTTCTAATTGAATGCACTAGCAGATATGTATTAAAATAGAGAATTTTGATTTTAGAGTGCTAAAATTTGTTTTTGAAGACAGTTTGGTTTAATTTCAATATTAATATGTATACATTGTACATACATTAGGGTGTGTCACAAACAACTTCATAGATTTTTTGAGCCCTCCATCCTAAAACTTTTTTATTGCATAACTTATTGAGGTGCTTAGGGATGATTTATGTATTTAGTTAGGTAACTTTCGGCAGTTTTTTTCCGGCAACGTTAAACCACTCGGAAGTTTGATCTTCCTTACAAGTGAGAGAATTAAAAAATGTAACAACAAGAGTTTACAGGGTGTGTATCGCTCCGCGGTTAGCGTTGCTGGCTTTGCACATCGATGATGCGGGTTCGATTCCTGCTGAAGTATAGAAAAAGAAGTCTGATGAAAGATGTGGTGATCTCCGAAATAGCAGCTATAATTTCTACCGCTTAGACTTTGTTGCTTTTCCCATTTTCCGCCACTTTGAATTTTAAGAATTTGATCCAGAATCGTAATCAATGATCTTTAAAACTTATATTATGAAAATCATAGAACTCCAATGACACCTTCACATTTTGATAAATTTTTTTTCGACCAGTGCAGCGTTGGGAAATCACAATTTTTTGACGTTTTCTTTTATTTTTTAATACTCATTTGCTTTTCATTTAAATCAACAGCTGGTTTTGGGTTTTGCAGTGTTAAAAAGAAAAAGCTCTAGGACTGAATTTGAAAAAATTTCAAAAACCGATTCTATGCAGGAGTTCAAAGTTGCCATCTAAAAATAAAAATGTGATCTTCCAAATTGTCAGTGATTTGTATTGTATCAGGAACTAGATGCATGCCAAATCTTTCATTCATTCAAATTATTACCACTAAGTAAGTATTAGGCCAACTGTATAAAATGCTTTTAATCCATTTTCATATATTTCTGATGATTTAGGCCCCAATTTTAGAAAAAGCATGAAAACTTGTGTCTA